GAGGGAGATAGAGACCTTAGAATCTTGATTTTTAAGAAACATTGTGATTGTTCAGCCTGAAATGTTTAATGGTAGAGGCCGTCGGATTTGGGAGAAGAGAATATCCATTTATGGAATTGACAGAGGTACAGTAAGAAGATTCTTGCCCAGAGACTGCAGTGTTTCAGGAGAACTGGTTCAATGGAAGCCTCAGAACTGATTCTGAGAGGATGAACTCTGGTTGCAACTCGTTGAGAGGAACTTGAGATCCAGAGGGTTTTCTACCTGAGTAGCACGGATCATCGTTGTCTGAATCGTCATCATCCTTTGAATCGCTACCATCATCAAAATAGGATTCGTCCCTTTGCCTTCTCAATGGTGGAGGACACGAGTGTCTCTTCCTTCGTGGTATTTGCAGACAAGCAGCCAACGCCAATCAAAGTTCTCTGTTCACCGTCGAAAAGACGATGAACAGAGATGAAGATGGATGAAGGATAAGCAGAGGAAGGAGAAAGAGAATAAGAAGAGGGGATGAAATTTGASGAATAATGGAGGGCAAATTTGACATTTTGTTTCCTTCCGTTAGCACTTAACGGCAACGACAATTGTCAAAACTTAAGGGTACCACAAGACAATAGCTAAACAGTAAGGGTACCGCGTGTCAATTCGCTAAACAGTATGGGTAGTTTAAGAGATTTACCCAAAAAAAAAGGTATTTGGGAATGGTTTCTCTTGTTTGGGTGCAGGTGAAATCTCTTGCTGTGCATGGCTACTTCATTCTTACCATCTGGTCATCTACTTACAATCAGCCAAATAAAAGAGGAAGAACCATGTTGAGATGCAGTAGGGCAGTTCTTCTTTGAATAGTTTGGGAAGAGAGATATGCAAGGATATTCAAAGATCAGGAGAGAAGCAAGGAGGAAATAATTGAATGCATCACAATTTGGTTGGCACACTGAGTTAAATCGATGGATGTTTTCTCACCTTTTTCATTTGAGGATATCATTAGGAAATGGGGAAGTGGCTATAACCTCATCTAAAAATAAGACTCAATGGTATTGGATCCCACTAGAAAATGATTTTATTAAGTTCAATTTTGATGGTAGTAGCCTTGGGAATCTATGGCCATTAGGAGTGGGATGGGTCTTTAGAGATGAAGAGGGTCATGTGATAGAATTGTTTTATTGTTCTCAGGTCCTATTGGGCATGATGCTCTCTAAGAGCACAGCTGTTAGCAGTAATCCAAGGGGTGAAAAGGGCAAATGAAATGAAACTAAGAAAATTAACCGTAAAAGGTGATTCCAAGGTGACAATTGATTGGTTGTTGAATGGAGAGAAGATGCAATGGACTTACAAGAATGAATTGAAGACAATGTGGCTGGTTAGAAACATCCAAATGAAGATACAATGGGTACCAAGGTCGGCCAATAGTTTGTCTGATGTAATGGCCAAACAAGGGGAAAATAAGAAACAGTTGTTTTAGGCCCAGTTGTAAAAGGAACATATGTGGAGAGATGGCAATTTATATGCTCTCTTTAATTTACATGTAAAATCTGTGCATCTCTGTTGTTTATAATTTTTTTTTTTTATCAACATCCCTGTTGTTTATAATCAATAAAGCTTTTCACTATCTATCAAAAAAAAAAAAAAAGATCCATCAATGCTAAAACTGAACCATAAGAAGTTGGCCAATAGCCAGCAAGCACAGAAATCCTGGGAAGCTATAAAAAACATCACCAAAGATCCTCCTGTTCTTTTCTCTTGTAGCCCCTAAAATATAGTGAATGCTATCACATTCCCTAAAATGCTCTTCTAAGACCCAAAAGATAGGTTGGTGACTGGTGAGGCTGGGACTTGATTCTAAAGGAAAAGAGGCTGATCTTATAAGGAAGCTCAAGGGGAGAGCAGATAGCTTGGAAGGTGGGGATGGAATGGAAGAAACGATCAGAACAACTGGTTGGCCAAGATATAATTGGAGAGTTTGTACTGATGTGCCTATTGGGAGGTTGGGAATGGAACTAGGTGGATGCAAACTTGATGATCAATAGAAGTTCAAATTGACAAGGAGTTCGGGTTATTCTCAATGTTCTGAAAATTGTAATCAACTGTAAATCGTAGAGAAAATTGAATCGTGAATTGTAAGATAATTTCTATTTTTTACAAATTTGTCAAAAAAATTAAATATACATATGATAAAAGGCTAAATATATATAAAAAAGTGTTTTATCCTATTTTTAAGTCATATCTACCATATATGTACCTAAACCAACAGAATTAAGGTGATACAATCAAGTTTAACTTGAAAGTCAAATAATCCACCTACATGGCTCTTTATTAAACATACGATAGAAAATAAACTCAATACATGGACTTAAATAATGCAAACAACTCAATTTCTAGTAAAGTCTTTAAAACAAGTCACCCTTGACAAAACTAAATATAGTCAAAACAAAATGACGAAGTAGAAAACTAATTCTTAATTGAATTGATTTGAATCACAATGAATCCTTTTTGCAGAAAAGGATTCAGATGTAAGATTCGAATCGAAACCCTTGGGATTCATGATACAAATCATAAATTATATTGTAAATCATAAGATTTTAACAAAAGTGGCTATTCCTTTTAGGTGGTGAAGCTGAAGCAGAAAATTTCAAAACGCAATAATATGCTTCAGCCCAAGGTTAAAAATATCGATACGTATCGGACTGTACCGACTGATACATATCATATCAGTGACCTCTCGATACGCCCCTACAGTAGGTGTTTCAGGATCTGACCTGGTTCAGGGGGTAGATGGGCCTTAAACCGACACCCCCCCCCCGAACCAGTTTGGAAAAAAAAATAAAAATGCAGCTTGATACAGGCCAATACACCCCAACCGTATCAGCCTGAATCGATATTTTGAACCTTGCTTCAGCTACAAGTATTAACGAGCAAATATAGAAGAGAAGATAGAAAAGGAAGCAAGAATAACTTCTACATTGCTTACAAAGCAGCCATGAGGAGTCAAATTTAGGTAACCCTTGGAACTATATTCTAATAACCAAGCAGCCATCAACAACGGTTACAATCTTATTCACCATGACACACTAAACATATTAAAGTTGATAGACATTTTACCAAAGAAATTTTGTCTACAGAAGTATGTTTACCTTTCATACAATTTGAGTTTCAATTAGTCAATGTGCATACCAAAGGTGTTGTCAAAACCAAAACTGTGGGTTTACTGGGTAAGCTGGACGTGATGAATATCTGTGCACAACTTAAGAAACACCTATATAGGGACATTATGGACCTTTTACTATTTTAATATATAAAGCACTCTTAGTGACTGCTTAATAACAAATGAAGATGCTGAACTAAAAAGCTTATTGCTTTGTCTTTTGGTGAATAAGTTTTTAAGGACATTGTGAGCTCCTGAATGGCTGAAACTGAAGTTGGGTAGATCACTATAACCTTGAATTTTTTTATTATTTAATTAATTTAACTAAAAAACAAAGCAATTAGTCTTTCATCTCAGCAACTTCATCCATTACCAAATGGCTCCTTAGTCACCTGGGGGGTCACTCAATTCAACTGCCTAAACTATTCTCTCTTTCTTTTGCCTTCATTCTTCTTCTATTCTCTTTCTTTTCTCTCTATTTTCTTTTTTTTTCTTTGGATCAAGAACAATAAACTTTATTAATGATATGAAACTATGTGAAACTTTAAGTACAAAAGGGGGGGGGGGGGTAAAATGTCTTAACTCCCCACCAACAGAATACAATGGAAGAAAGTCAGAAGTTAGCCCAAAATAGAGATTCCCTAATCACCCCTTGCTTGGCTAATCCATCAGCAAATGAGTTAGCAGTCCTCTTCACCCAGCTGTAATGCAACACAATATCCCTACTCAGCCCTTTGAATTTTTTCTTCTCATTGTTATAACTCCACAAACCGCTGTCTTCTTCCTTTAGCCACCTAATCACCACCTCCGAGTCACCTTCAAGGCTTCAAGGACCAAACATCTGATGTTAAAATCTCTTGCTCTTTGGATACCTTCCAAGGCTGCAAGAATCTCAGCCCTAAGAGAGTCCCCTTCTCCAATTGGGCCTGAGAACATGGCAGTGATAACCCCATCCTCATTCCGGAACACTCCCCCAATCCCAGAAGGCCCTGGATTCCTTAAGCAACTACCATCAAAATTCAGTTTTATGAACCCAGAGGGAGGAGGGGACCAAGAAGGCCTACGAGTCCTCTTACATAGGGCAGAGGAAGCTATCTCTTTTCTCTCTATTTTCTTACCATCTTTTCACAAAATATAACACCAAAGAACACAAGTTAGTTGATAGTGCTTAACTGCTTATAAGCATCTCAAAGGGGTGACCAAGGTCCCACAAAAGCAAGGTATGCACTCAGTCATCCCATGGATAAATTTGCTGTAATGTCTTCTCTTCTCTCTTTTAAATGGAGTTGGTTAACTTTAAATACTTACAGAAGAGTTAAGTAGAGATTTTTTTTGCCATAATTAAAAGGCTCTCCTAAAGCAAGCATAGGAATTCCTTCAACTATTTTCCTTTTTGTAGCACTTACTAGTTAATACCTATTGAGAAATTTGGAAGGAGAGAAATAGAAAAATGAAGAATCTTTMAGGTTTATTAGTAAAGAGACAATTGTAATAGTTGGTAGTTCTTAGTTGAATGGGTTATTTTCCTTATTTTGATAAACAAGAAGTAATTGAATTAAAAAGGGAAAAGCAGAGTTTGAGCTCTGCAAAAACCCGGAGTGGATATTTATCTTCTAAGAACTAGAGCAATCAGTAGGAAGGATTTTGTAAGGAATTGGTCTCTTATTATTTCCTCAACGATCTAAGTTCCTGTAAATATAAATAAAAGCCAAGCTCCAGATTTCATGATGCACTGTGGAGATACCAAGCTAGCAGGAAGTGATAAAGAAAATGCAATTTTATAACGGGCTTAGCTTCCCTGATATAACCTAAGAAGAAGATGAAATACAACAATTATGAGAAGTCCAATACAACTTACAGCACCAGACCCTTCTGTTGATGGCCCCCCAATAAATGCCATGATTCTAGCTCCGGAACCAGGAACACAAGCTCCTAACAAACTGGCAGCCACACTCAATGCTGTGCTTGTACACCTTGTTGCCCGTTGATCTGCTGGCACAGGCCAAGGATCTTTCTGAAGTTCTTCCAAAACCTGAACCAAGAACCAATCCATCCAAATCAAACAAAATGTCACAGACCATAGTTATCAATGTTCAATTAACTAAGAACAAAATAACCATACACTCAGTAAGTAATATAAGTAATATCTATGTATTTGTGTTTACTAAGATTCTTTTTTGTCTTTATCTAGCTGAGATGTAGAACGATTATAAACTTTGAGTCTACTGGATGATAAAAAACTTGAACTACGATCAATGTTTTTTTTTTCTGTAATAGAATTTTCCCAAAAAGTTTAAAGCTTTCCATGTTTAAGAAGGAGAAATAAAATTACCGAATTAAAAGCAAATTCACACTCAGATGCAGGCAATAAGAAGCGAGCTATGCTTTCGGCAGTGAGACCGTCCCTGGAACCGGCAATTACGCCGGTGATTGGCTTAGGCTTCTTTGCAAAGAAATTCATCTGCTCAAGAATCTGATCTTTCGATATCTCCTTGGAGCCTTTAAAAACATACGTCTTCGGGATCAACCCGAACCCTAGTTCATGCACATGAACGTAGGTCCCAAAGGTGATGAACCCAACAAGCGAATTATCCGGCAAAAGATCAATCGCCTGAGACAAAGCAGACTTCAAGAACCCTAGCTCCTCCTCAATGATGCAACTATCGACAACGAACAAGAAGACAGGTGGAACAACAGTTCTCTCTGTGGGTGCTTCGTACTCAATTGTCGTGTACTGAGGAAAGAGCTCGGCGGGGAGATTATCTTCGGAAATCGAAGCGTAATGAGGAGGAAAATGGTTGCGTTGGAAACAGAAAGGACATATCCAGATCTTAGCCATATAATCGACAATGGAGAAAGGGTTTAGAACCGATCTGCAGGTACGGCAACGGAGAGGAGAGTAGGGAAGGACTGGSATGTTGGGGAAGGGCTTCAACGGCGTGTAGATCGCAGAGACTGGGACGACGCAGTTGGCTGCTTCTTGTTTCGTGCCAGGGAAGACGTTCCATGGCATGCGTATGCCGTCCTGGGCCTCCAGGTCAAGGAATTCCGCCATTAAAGAAGAGAATTGTTCTTTCTTCTGATGTTTGACGATTATCTGCGATCGGCAGAGGTGGCGATGTCAATTTTGGAGCGAACGGAGTGACGAGAGAGAGAGAGAGAGTATGTATCGATTGTTTTGTGCGAAATATTTGTTGAATCCCGTGCCGGCTTGGAAGGCAGGCCCGGCAGCGACTTGAGTCTCAGTGGGGATGAACAGGCGCGGCCCGAGCCCAGGCCCGCATTAGGCCCACAAATTTTTAGGCCGCTCTTGGTCCAATAAAATTATGAAAAATGCATGATTCTCTTTTTTCACTATTCATCTTTAGACACAAACCAGCAGCAGAGTTTGAGTCTCATAACATTGCTTTTACTTGCACACGTTATCACATGGTTCTCAAAATGGATCGAACCAGGCAGTGGGACCAAAAAAACCGGAAATTGGTMAGGTAACCAGTTATGTTTCACCCTAAAACTGCTTTTTTGGTCAGCGGCCTACTGACCCTGATGGTTAAACCATCAAACCGTCAACCGGAACAATGTTTTTGGCCATCTTTTATTTTTTTTATTTTTTAAGTTAAAACGGACTATCTGTTCAAACCAGATGGTCAGACCATTTGACTAAGGAACTAGTCCAGTTTTTAAAGCCTTACCCGCTAATGTCCAATATGTGCTTGCAAAGCCTGATCCAATCCAATACGAGATTTTTTATGAATTGGGCTTTGGATTTTCGGGCTTTAGGTTGAGATTTAGCTTGAAAATCTGGGCATTGCCTTTAAGTTTAGGTTGAGCTTGATAACCTGAATAACAATCAAACCTGGTGCAATTCACAATATTTATATGATTAATCCAACCCTATACTCATGCAAAAATACAAATAAGTATACCATATTGCAAGGATTACAGCAGATAGGATCAAGCAATATGGAATTAAATCCGATTAATAAAAGCACACATTTTGAAAATTGATTTTACYCAATTATGGCTAAACAAATATTCAAATCTAACATAAATGAAGATTAAATCTGATCTATTTGCATCCCTAATCGAAGGGTTCTCCTAAGAGCAACGGATTAATCTTGGCCATCCAAATAAAGCACCAGATTCTCTAAAAAATCTAAGCCAAATAAAATAAAGTACCAAATAACCAAAATGTATAGACCATCAAATGGGCCTCCTAATCTTAGTTGATTTATCTCAGTCATCCAAATGATGTAGCACGGCTTCAACTAAACCAGTCCTTAGGAACCAATCAACACAAAGATCTAGGCCATGAGAGTGGCATGATAAGATCAGTCGCTATTCTCACCCATCCAAGTATGTACCAAATTTTCAACTAACTTGGGCTGTCCCGCCTTAGCCTAGTATGTACCAATTTCATCCAATCCCACCTTAGCCAAGCCCAAATTTTGTTGGGTATCGTGGGTTGGGCTTAGATTGGCAAATTCAATCCTTGAATTTAAGTTTAAGACAATGCATGGTCCAGGTTTTAGGGCTGGGACTGGGTTGGTGTACTGGACGAACTCGGATTGGGGCTTTGTCAAAATTTGAATGGGTCCGGCCCAAATCCCAAACACAAAGCAGTGTAAAATCCTAATATGGGCCATCCCTAATTGCATCCCTAGTCAACCAAGCCTAAGTGGCCCAAGATGCATCCCTAGTATGTGCACTTAAGCATTGTAACTTTGTATCTGTTTGAAGTTTGAGAATTGAATTGTATATGAACTTGACCTCAGACTCTCAGAGTTTTCCTTAGATGTTCATAATGTATTCTACTACTATAGGATACTTATATCAAGTGTTCAAAGCTGGTTAATTTGATTTTTTTTTTTTTTTATCTTGTACCATGAGACATCATATTTTTATTTTCAGTTGTTTGAGTTATAAGTCTTTTTAGTGTTTGGGCTTAGCCCATTACAACTCAATGGAATAAGTGGCCCACCTTTAATGATATCCTGATTTCTGGCTATTTAATACGCTATGTTCGGGCCTTAAACAAGAGTCCAATTTATCTTGGCCCAGTTAACCTGCAAAACAATTCGAAAGAAATTGTCGGAATAATATGGATATAAAATTAATACATTGATCAGCATCTATTCTATCTATTCTCTCTCTCTCTCTATATATATAAAACGGTTCAACCCACGCAGTGCTTCCCTTTTTAATTTTTTCTCCCAATTCCACATTCCTGTTTTTACAAATTTTTGAATTTTCTGTTTTTTAAATTCCACGTAATTAGACATGTTCACGTATCAGGCTTCGCCCCACCCCCGGCAACCTCAAACTCATGAGAAGTAAGGAAATGCAGTAATAAATATCAAAATTCTTGGACTCTTTCCATTCAAACAAACGCAACTGACTTAGCAGGAGGAGAGGAAAAGGATTGAAAGAAAATTTGGAGGGTCTCTGTTTTTGTGCGAGCAAAAGGTGAATAATCATCGTCCTCTGTCTCAGAAGATACAGCCGGTGCTTTTAATGTTTTCGCTCCATTAGGTGATGATCAATACTCCAAAGAAATTGTTTTTTTCTTTTTTGGAAAATTATTGAAGATTTGTGTAATTTTCATTGTAAATTACTGAAAATTATTTTTGGAAAATAATAACTAATTTTTTTATTACATTTTGAGGAAAATATTTTTGAAAATTGTAATTACAATAATTATCTAATTATGAGGGAACTATTTTTAGAAACTTTCCAGAAAACTATCCAATAAATAATTCTTGAAAATTTTAAACCAATAAACGAGAACAATTAATTAAAATTAATGTCACTTAAGATGAATTAAATAAATAATTAAATCTTGGAAATAATTGATTCTTTATACATAATTATTGATTTTAATTCCAATTGTATTGAAAATTAATAATTACACTAATGTAATAAATTTTGCAAAATTTTCATGCGACAACATTTTCATAAAATTACATTTTGCAAAATAAAGATATATTAATGTGCTTTTAAAAATTTTGGAAATTTTCTTTAAAATGTGGTAAATGATTATTTAATAAAAATAAATACTTCATAACAATTAAAAAATAATTTTCATAATTACACACATGTAATAGATATTCTAAATTTTCATAATTCCCATTTCAGAAAATAAAATTGTATTGTTGTACTTTAGTATTCTTTAAAATGTAGTAAATAATTGTTGAAAATTATTGGGATATTTTTTAAGATTTAGGAAAAATTATTAAATTTCATGATWTTGGAAAATTATTGAATTTTTATGTAATTTTAATTTTAAATTATTGAAATTCGTGAAATTTAAATATAATTTACACTATTTAATAAAAATAAATTATTTAATAACAATTTAGAAATAAATTTCAATAATTTTTCAAAAATACACAAATGTAAAAAAATTTCTAAATGTTTCATGAAATTACATTTTGGTAATTAACGATAATTGAGTGTACTTTTGGAAAAGTTTCTCAAATTGTAGTAATTCATTAAGATAAATTACCAGAATTTTGTAAAAAAATTGAAATAGGAAATTTTTTATTAATTTATACTAGAAAAATAATAGTATAATTTTGGAAGAGAAATTATTGATTAACTTATATTAGAAAATGAAAGATAGATTAGTGTAACTTTGTAAATAAACTATTTAATAAAAAAATATTTAGTAACAATTTAAAAATAAGTTTGATAAATTTTCAATTATTATTTTTAGTAATACATGAAAAATTTTAAAAATATCAAGAATTGTTCAAAGTATTCAAAAATAGTCAATAAATTAATGATTATTGGTATTCTTAATAATACATGTGGGTTTTCATGTGCATCACACAGGTCCACGCTAGTGCAATATAAGAACATATTTGTTTGCATGATTTTAAAATTTGTACCTTCTGATCATGATTTTAAGCAAGTAATGATTAGTTGAACATAATAGTTGTTCACCTGGTTGTGAAATCACTGATAACTCTCTATACCAATAATAAAATACATGGGACCCATAACCATTTTAATTTCTCATTGTAAGCCCAATGTATTTTATCACTGGTGTGGGGGCATTACATACCATTGGCTCCACAGCCTACTAAAACAGCTATTGCATTGTGCTAATTTGAATTCCAATGAAACTATCACTATAAGAAAATACACTTATAGCTATGGACAAAACCGTAGCTACAAATGCAAAAAACAGTAGCTATAGATCTATAGCTACGGACTGGCTACGGTCAAGAAACGGTAGTTACAGTTGCGGTGGCTATAGGTAATGGCTACGGCTGGATGTATCCGTAGCTATAACTAACCTATAGCTACGGTTTGTGCCTGTAGCTAAAGACTAACCTAAATAATTACATATGCATTTGTAGGTACGATTTTTAAGTTATCTGTAACTACAAATATGACTTTTTAGCTATGGTTGTGTGATGTTCATAACTACAAAATTTGCATTTATAGCTACGGTGATGAGATATCCATAGCTTAAACTATGGATTTATAGCTACAGACCCAAGTTGCCTGTAGCAACAGGCATCAATCTATAATTACGGATATTAATTGACCGTAGCTAGAAAAAAAAAATACCTATATCTACSGATATTAACTGGTCGTATCTAGAAAAAACCTATAGCGATGTTGTCGGTAGCAGCAGAACAACAATCTATAACTTGTACATAAAACACCTTTAGCAACGGTTTTTGTGACTGTAGCTAAAACACCTTTTGCAACGGTGTTTATTGACTGTAGCGAAAAACATTCATTATTTTTTGAAGCCCTACTTTCTTGTATTGAATACAAGCACAACTAATTCATAATATAAGATGGAACTTGAATTAAAAGTTCCGTTAAAGGTTCTTGAATACATGAATTATATCTCAAAGTGCTTTAACATCAATGCATTTGCTACAAATTTCAATGTTCTTGAATACATGAAACTCAATCCAAAATAAAAAAAAATGGCATGTAAAATTTGATTAAATATCTCCATCTACATTTGTGAAGTATCCTCCTTTACCATGTTCAACCTATAAGAAAATAATAGAAAATAAGTTAGAAATCACATTTTTTGAGATATAAAATCATATATGAAAATTTAATTAAGTATATATGGAATATAAACTCTTGCCTACTTTCCAAGCCTAATGTTAAGAAAATGACAAATGTAAGGATTGAGATCAA